GTAGGTGTTCAGAATGGTCTGATCCCTATCCAGCTGAATTCCTGGGACCAGACGAAATCCAGGTCTCCTACTCCTCTGCAATCTTGCTCCACCCCCCGCCCTCGCTGACACCTCTTATACACAGAAAAGAGAAGAAACTGAAGGTGCAAATGAGAGTTAAAATTTTCTTCCGGCCGCAAAAGGACAGAGTCAAATCCAAATGTTGGTGTTGTTGATAAGGAACTTCTAGGTGCCAAGCTGTCTCCATGGCCCATAAGAGATGTGGCAGTAGAGGAATCAGCTGGATGTGAGGCTGAGAGGAAAGGGTTCAAAGCCTCTGAGTCAGAGGAGGTGGTTTGCCACACACACTCATGTGCAAATCCACAAGCAACTAATAGTGTCGACGAAACCACCCCACATACATGGCGATGGACAACTCTGCAATTTCCCTCTCATGTGCCACCCATTTAAGCTGACTGATTTCAGTATCCTACCTGGCTCCACACCTGTAGCTTCACAAGCTGCCTGGGAATTGCCATGATGTCATCACAATCGGGTTCCCCAGATGTGGAGGCATATAGACACCAAACTATGTAGCTAACCAGTCCTGATTGGCGGGGCGAAGGTTGAAAATACCAGGGCATTTACAAAATCAATATTAAAAAAAAGTAATACCAAAAAAATAAATAGAAAAATGAATGGGAAAAAGAAAAACATTCAAATGAAAAATGACGAAAGTTCCAATACATAAAAAATAAATGTAAACCAAGAAAAGAAACAAAACAATGTAATGCAAGACAAGGGAACTTAATTAGGAGGCTCGTCTTGGGAGGCCAAAGGTGATTCGAGTTCCACACGCACATGCCAGAATCTGAAGCGATTCCCGAAGGTCCTTCACCCAGTCTGGTCCTACACAGAGTCCCAGAGTCTCAACACCACGATTCGATGTCAAGGCTGTAATCCCGGAGAAAAGCTAGTGGGAGTGGGAAAGGCACATTGCATCTGGGGGGGTGCATGTCCACCTGCCCAGGGCAAGCACTTACCTCAAGTGGTCCCGATTCCTTCTGAAGATCTCTTCTGCCAAAGGTCAGAACACTGAAGGCAGGGTTACCACAGGAAGCTGTCGAAATGATGGGGTGGGACATCCAGGGATGGGTCATACCAGGCATTGATAAGTCCCATGGTCCGGGTCCTGCCCAGTCGGCCGGCCAGTGCTCTGGAAACCAAGTGACTCCATCGACATGGCTTCCACCTGCACATCATGGAGTAAGTTTCCATCCAATGCCCTGCTCCCTGCTTGCATTTCCCAAAGTCTCTGATAATTTTCCAGGGCTCCCAAAAGTAGAAGACACCATCTCGATTGCCAGCATACAGGCTGGAGGGAATGTGATCCAGGGAGGATTGAGGCAAAGGGATAGAGAGAGGTTTGCATATGGCTGCCGTCAGAATGAAAACTGAAGTTGGTGGCCAGGATTCCCAACAAGAGTCCCTCTTTTGCAAATAGGCAAGCTAGATCTCAGGTGTCAGAGAACAGGAAAATATTCAGCACCTATTTCAGGTGCCATTTACAAAAAGAGAACTTTCACCTCATGGACCAGCACTTCGTGTGTGTTGTCAGAGTTAACCTTGATGATTTTTAGGAGCAGTGGGTTCCTCTTTGTTTCTCCTAAGGTGCTTTCACCTCTTCAACCCCACCGTAGGTTTCCTCAGTTCATTGGCATGCCATCACATAGCAGTTGGTATTTCCCTAGATCCTTGCCTATCACCCATTCCCATAGGCAGATGGTGGACTGCCTGTCCTATTGAGCAGACCCTCAGTTGGATCCATGAATGGCAAAGGCACAGGAAGCCCCGGCCGGGGAAGGTGTCCACAGCACAGAAAGTGAAGAGCTGAGACCGTACCACCAGTTTGCATTCCTATGAAAGCCTTCCTAATACGGTTGTCATTTTCCCTGCAACAGGCCCCCTTCCATGCGGATTCCGACGGAGGTGGCTTGTTTTGAAGCCGATGCAGCAAGGGGCTCTGCACGCATTTTTCCAGCGGAACCCATACCCAGGCATCGCCACCAGAGAACGACTGGCCCGAGAGCTAGACATTCCAGTATTCAGAATCCAGGTAGGTTTCAGCTTCACTTGCATTTTAACTGGGGGACAGTTCATGGACACAATCAGGCCCAAGCCACTGCATGTCAATCTCCATGCTCAGCTGGGGAGCTAAGAAGCTTTGGCCCCTGTATGTGCATCTCTGTTGAGCTCATGCCCTTTGAAGTTATTCCAAGTCATTCACTCGAGGAACCCAGGTACTACTGGTGCGCCAGGCCTGGGATATTCCAACAGGTCAACATGTCTTCGCTGACTTCCCTAGAGATCATTTGTCCAGAGTTATCGCATGGTCCACGCAAAACACTCTGAGACATTAGGTATGAGAAAAAACAAAACAAAACAGATATAGATATAGATATAGATATAGATATAGATATAGATATAGATATAGATATAGATATTGATATAGATATATAGATCATGTCCACCAGTGTTGCCTGACCATCCGTTCTTCTTTTACAATTTAGGTGTGGTTCCAGAACCAGTGCACGAGACAGCTAAGGCAAAGCTGACTGGGGTCTGCCAAATCCAAAAGGGGAAGGGCCACCACATGGACAGGAACAGCCTCCAGCATGGACTCAAGGTAACTCCTCAGCATATAAAACAGGGCCCTTCTTGAGCTTCTCCTTGACCCAGGAACGGGTTTGCATGTGCTTGCCATGTGTTTGGCAAGAAGTCTTAGCAGAGGAACCCATGCCCACTGGTTCCAACCGCCTTTCTGTTCCCAGAGATGGACACTGTGCATGCACCATCTGTTGGGCGGGTGCGTTGTTTCTGGGCAAGAAAGGCTTTGAATCTTCTTGTCCTGAAACTGTAGGAAGGACAGAGTCCTCTTCTGGGGTCACCTCAGAATTTAGATTCAAGCACTGGATTGTGTGGGTGGGTCCATGCTGTCCTCAGTGGAGTCAGGGAGGAGAGGCTATAGAGAAAATGGAGAAGCATGAGAGAACACACACACACGTACACACACACACACACATGCGTGCACACGGACACCAATTTCTCTTTCTACACTGGATGTGCCAGTGGCTTCAACGGTCTCCTTTCTAACTCTATTCTCTTTTTAGAACATTTCCCAAAGGAAGGCAGGAGAAAACAGACATCCATTTCTCCATCCCAAACCAGTATCCTCCTTCAACCCTTTGAGAAGAACCATTTTCCAAGCATTGCTACGAGGGAATACCTGGCCAGACTCACAGGTCTTCAGGAATCCCGCATTCAGGTACATTTTCCGAGTGTGGCCTGTGAGTTGTTCAATTTGGAAGGGATAGTGGTGCCTCAGACGTTGCTAGGGAATCGTGGGCTCCTTTGAGTTATCCACAGGATCCAATGCCCAGGCAATGGGGGGAATGTGTTGAACTTGCAAGTGAGAGACCGTCCAAGGAAGAATTTCCATACCAAATGGTGTGTGTGTTTGGCGGGGGGGAGTTGGCAGTGTACATGCATAAAGAAATGGTGAGCAGACAAAAGACGGGAAACAGTAACATTGGCACCTATCTAGAGATCACACAAACTGTCAGCTCTTGAGCAGCTTAGTAGCACTCCCCACGTGGCCCTCTGGATTTTGTGAGTGTGAGTGGGGTTGCTGTCTTGTGTGTGGCAACGTGTTTGTCAGTGTCCTGGGCCTCAGGACTCCAGGGCAGGAATGGATTCTACCCTCAAACCACACCTTGTCTGCATAACCTAATCATCCAGGATAATTGTCCCAAGGATTATTGGTAGGTGGGTGAGAGGTCCCATGTGCCCTGGTTGAGAAAGCTCTGCAGCGCATGGTTCCTGGTATAGGAATTGTGAAACGCCCTTATGGTATATGGAGGCAGACTCCCTGGAAGCCTCTCCTTTGGGACAAGAGCCAGTGACCCTGCTTTAAGCGGGCCTTCATGAGCTAGTACTCTGACTAGTCTTGTCCCTGGAGGGAGGGGAAGCTCAACGTGCTTGATCCTGAGAACCCTTCTTCCCATGTAGCAAACGGAGGAGAGGGAAAGCCAAATCTGAATGTGAGTGTTGTTGATGTGGACTCCTGGCTGCCCATGCCTTCCTCTAGACCCATAAGAGTTGTGCTTGTAGACTTACCTATCATGTGGATGCGAGGCCAGGAGGCATGGGTTGTGGGCCTGCAAGCCAGAGTTTGTGGTTTGCCATTTGTATTACACCCAATCAGACGCTGGGGCGGGGAAATTTGTTGAGGGATGCCCTGAGGCATTCCGGAGAACTTGGAGTAGCCTGGGGAAGGAGGGAGAGGCGGTCGGCTGTCTTTGTCCCAGGACTCCTGTAATGGCTGGTCAGAAAGCTGAAATTGGCAATCGAAGAGAAAGCAAGGTAGGGACTGAACAGCAGGCAGAGCAGAGCTGAGCGCCTGCCTTTCAAGCCTATCAAAGGGGATGGACTCCAGGCCAGGTGTCCACAGTTTCCCTGGGCATTCACCTAATTTCCAAGGGCCAGGTGAAAGTTATGGACAGAGTTCCCCTGAGATTCAGGCCAAGAGTCCTGGCCTTCTCCACGAGAGATCCCAGGTGGGGGTAGGGGGGAAAGAGAGCTGACATCTATCCCTTCTTCTCATGTCCACGACATCTCTTCTCTGTCCCAGGCCTGGTTCCAGAACAGAAGAGCTCGGCACCCAGGGCAGAGCAGAAGTGGCCCCGTGAAGGACCTGGAAGCACACCCCAAATCCAGTCCTCGTGTGACAGTCCCAGGGGAACCAGGACCCCTGGCCGGTGTCCGTGTAAGCTCTCCTCCACTGGCTCTGTCCATTCCTGCCATTCCTCTGGGAAGCATGCAGGCCCTTGCTGCAGGGACAAATCCCATCCCTGCATGGGCTTTGCCCCTCCAGTTTTCTGTGGGGGCCCAGGGAGCCAGGCCCTGGGGGCCACGATGGTCCCGCCCACCCAAGGTGGGCAAGGAGGAAACAACTTTCCTGCTGCTGAAGGCCTGAGGAGCCGTTCCTTGAGGCGACTGACTCTGGGAGGGTGTCTCTCTGTTCAACACACTCTTCTTTGTCCCCCGTCCCAAGGGGAATACCAGCAGCAACATGAGCACCCTGGCATGGTACCCCTGCCCTTCCAAGACTACCCCCATCCTCTAGCTGACAATCCTTGCCAAGGCTTGAAGGAGGCAGGGCACCCCGGAGCAAAAGTGCTGCCCAGTGCTGGGACGAGGGGTCCCAGCTTGTCATCGGCACAGGACAGGCTCAGGATGGGACAGTTGTGCATACTGCACATGCTGAGACCCCTGGCTGGCAGCAGCAGGAACATCCTACTGCAGGGCTGTCTGCTGCGCTCCACCCACAGCACCAACCCTCTGCAGAAGCCTCAAGATTTTAAGAGGAACTTTTCTCAGCTACAGAGATGGAAGAAGAAACACACCCTTTTCTCAGTGGGCGTTTGCCACAAGAGGACGCTCCGGGACCCCTGGAAGCACCCCTCAGCGAGCAGGAGTTTCACGCCCTACTGGCCATGCTGCATGACTCCACATGGCCTCATGCCTAGGAGCAGGGAGGCCTCATCCTTCCCACCCCACACTCATTCAGATCTTTCCTGAGATGCAGTCCTAGCGGGTCAGCAAGGAGGAGGAACAAGCAGCATTGTGCATGTTCCTGAGGAAGACCGACGCCTGAAGCAGCATCCTTTGCTTGGAAAGACAGAAGAAAGATATCCTTTCTGCCCTGTTCGTGGGCCTCCATTGCCTTCCCGATCAGTACCAAGTTCCACAAAACCTCTGAAGGCACCATGGGCACCGGGCAATGGGCACCCTCCAGACTGCAGTCTGATCTGAGAGTGTCTGGGAAGTCTCTGGAGGGGGATAGCACTTCTGCACATAGGACATGGAGGGAAGAACAGAGCTGCAGCCACATTGGGGTCCAAGGCCAGAGGAGTCTCAAGTTTGGACTTGAGACTGGAGCCTGTCTTGTCAACAGGTGGCCTGTTCCATCCATATCGGTGAGTTTTCAGGGCCATGGCATGTGTACAACACGGAGCCACCGCTCTGGGAAAACGCCTGCAGAGAAGGTGTCCACGTGGAAGCTGGCAGGAGTCAACCAGCTAGCAGGCTGTTGCTCATGGCCTTGGAGGCCAGGGCCCCAGGGGCTCTGATCTGCAAGGACATCCTCACACAACTGTGCCTCCCCTGGGATCCCTCCAAGTGAGCCTCTCACCCTCGGATCTCCCCGGCCTGGGAATGAGGAATCAAGAACAAGACCCACATGTCTGTAAAACATCCTCCTGGGGGAGGCGGAGCAAGATGGGGGAGGAGTAGGAGACCTGGATTTCATCTGGTCTCAGGAATTCAGCTGAATAGGGATCAAACCATTCTGAACACCGACGAACTCAACAGGAGATCGAAGAACAGAGTAGCAACAACTCTCTGAACAGAGAAGCGACCACTTTCTGGAAGGTAGGACGTCCAGAGAAGTGAATCCGAGGCGATATTCGGGAGGATACACGGCGGGGGAGGGACCTCCGTCGGCCGCTTCTGGCAGGTGCTGGAGCCGCGGAGCACAAAATCGGAACTTTTGGAAGTCTGCTCTGCTGAGGGGCATCGCTCCAGTGGCTAAGCGGGAGGTGGAACCCTTGTGGGACAGTGTGGTCTCAGGACCCTCGGGGTCACAGAAAGACCGGGGGTGCCTGAGTGCAGCAGAGCTCCCGGGTATCGGAGCGGGGAAGCCGGCTGCAGAGATGGAGCCAAGGCGCGGGCTCTCAGCTCGGAGTTCCCATAAACTGTGATCCGCGGCCCAGTCAGGCGACTGCTCCTCCAGCAGGGACCCAACAAGCGGCAGAGCTGGGGAGACACCCCTTCCTCCCCCGGGAGGAGCGGCGGGGAGCGCACCGCAGGGATCTGCTGGGTGTGGAGACTCCACACGGGGTCGGGCACCAGAGATAGAAACGCTCGGTCACGGGCCGGGTGAGCACGGAGTGCGGCCGGAGACCGGGGACACGGGAGTGACGGCTTTTCTCTGGGGGCGCACTGAGGAGCAGGGCCCCGAGTTCTCGGCTCCTCCGGGCGGAGATTGGGAGGCCACCATTTTCACCCTGGTCCTCCAAAGCTGTACCGAGAGCTTGCAGGGAACAAAAGCTCCTGAGAGCAAACCCGAGCAGACTGCTTGGCCGGGACTCACAAGGGTGGGGCAATTCCACCTCCGGCAAAGACATTTGGGAACCACGGCAACAGGCCCCTCCCCCAGAATGTCAGCACGAACAGCCAGCCAAGACCAAGTTTACCGAACAAGGAGAACGGGAGAACTCCAGCGCTAGGGGAATACTGCACATAGAATTCATGGGTTTTTTTTACCATAACTCATTAGTTTTTCAAAGTTAATTTTTT